CCGTTGTTCAGGTCTCCACAGGCCTCCAGCCAGGGTCATGTCAAGATTAGGGTTCTTGCTTGTCCCAGAGTATCCAGGAAAAGTCCTGGCCAGATACCCCCAAAACAACGCCAAACTAATTGAGGGAAATGGATGAAACCTGGGGAGGTTGCGAAGCTCACACTCCAGCTGGCCAAGATTCACCGCACATACACTGACAAACCGCAGCTCGTGCTGATGTGCAGGCTCGGGCTTACACTCGTTTGCCTTGCAGCATGGTCCCTCTGTTCAGGTGCGGATGATGGCCGAGGTGGAGAAGTATAAGCAAAGAAGAGGGAGCTGGCCGCCCTGATGAGACAGGCCCGGTCGGCCCGGTTGCGGAAGGGGATAAGGAAGATGCATCCTATACCTTAGCACGAAGGTGGAGGAGGAAAAGGGCGAGGCCCATCGGCGCAAAAAGGCTGCCGAGGCTTTGCGGGGCTAAGCTGCCAGTCGGTTTCTGCCTCTGCGCTCGTCCATCGCAGGCCGCGGCGCAGGAAGCTGCAGATGCCGAGGCGGCACTGCGGACAGTCTCTCTAAGTTGCAGCTGCTGACTTCTTCCTAGATCCGGCAAAGTGATGTGGTGCGTTTAAGCGTTGTGCGACGAGGCTGCCGACACCGAGAAAGAAGAACTTGCTTCTGCTGCTACAGCAAAGGTGCGCGGCGGCCAGCTGCACCCCCACAGAATCTGAGCGAGTTCGAACATATGCCAGGCTGAAGACATCAGCTCGGAGTTTGACACGTATGGCTGCGATCCCAGCCCGTAAATCGTCATCCTGAGTACGGAAGTGTGCTCAGTTGCGGGAATTGGCCTTCCCGTTCCTCCCTTGCGGCGTCATGCGGCGTCCTGGGTCATTTTGTCAACCAGGAGGTTGTCTCGTTTCTCGTGGTAAGGAGTATGCTGCATGTTTTTTGTCGGTGTCCTGGGCCATATGGTGAACCAGGCGGCAAGACATGTCCTAGAGCGACGGTGCACTTCGCGCTCCTTCTTTTCGAAGTCCTGGGTCTTTTTGCGGGCCGGAGGTTGTGTCGTTTCTGGTGGGGGGGGGGGGGGGNNGGTAGCACTCACTGCATGTTCCTTTGGAGTGGCATGCACCGCAGCATCTTCCCAGACGAGCTTTGCATCCCAGGTGTCGTGCAGTCTAGTATTTTCAGTTTTTGAGGTTTTGGCCCGGAGGAGGCCTGAGTCTCAGTGGTCAGACTCAAAGCTGTAATGTGCACAATGCCACAAGGACAGGTGAGGCATGTTCGCTGTGCCCGGCAAGAGAGCTGACGCGAGCGAGCTTATAAACTCTGAAACCCGAACCTGCACGAACAACAAACGTGCCCGGTAACGAGAACCCTAACCCCTAAACTCCAGATACCTAAACCCTGGCCCTAGACGAACCCTTAACGAAATCTTAAGCTCTACGATCTAAAGGAAAACCCGTAACCAACTCTCGAAGGAACCCAAAGAAACCAAAGCTCAGCTGCCACTGTTCAGTCCAGTGCGTACCAGCAAAAATTGCTGCAACAGTTTCTGTGCAGCTGCTGTGTTTTATATTCATGCTTGTCGCAAGCAGTCTGCTCGAGCCGGGGCTTCACATGGTCGTCAGCTGCATAG